TTAATAATCTCTGGTGTTAAATGTTTTTCCATGGTGCAGTAAAATTTTATTAAAAATTAGTCGCTGAAGAAAAAGGGTTGAAGAAAAAAAAGAGCTGCCGAAAAAGTTCTGTGGAGTCTTTATGAGGCAACAGCAAAAACATCCTCAATTTAATGCACATTCTGGAAATAAAGGATATGAGAAAGAGTACCCACAACCTGCCATCTAGTTGATCTCAATGACAATAAAAGTCCATTAGCCCAAAGGCAGTTATGAAAGCAGAACATAAATAAATAAGTCATGCTGGTCACACTTCTGCCATTAAATTACTTTTTATCTATTTAAAAACAAAGTTCTCACTACATAGTACCTGAGATTTCTATGAGATTCCTACCTTAGCAGACACATATTCCTTACTCTTTGAAATTAAACCCTAAAACAGTGAGTGGTGTCATTTTTCAACATCATTTTATTCTCCCAATGATTTTATGCATTAAGAAAGGGTTATATGATTGCATGTCATTACTGCCTGGTACAAAACGTGGCTGATTCTACATTTAGTAATTGCTTTTTTCTTTTTCTTTTTCTTTTTTTTTTTTTTTTAATTACAGTTTTCCAATCTCCTCATTGACCACCGTGTTCTACAGGTTGCTTGGGTTGAATGGTCAGAACCTTCATTTATACTGGAATATTATGACAAATTACCTCTTTTTTGAGGTAAGAGAAAATATTTCTTTAAGTGATTTGTTGTGATTTGAGTTTCTTTCTTGACTTAAAATATGGGAGAGATGAGATGATAAACTGCTAACTTCAGCTGGTTAATTTTTCATGACCTAAAATATTCTGTTTTAGTTTTCTGGGGTCTATAAAAACTTTGTTGAGTCCTCATAAATGTGGATTGGGTCCAACCCACACATTCCAGATATTTTGTCATTCCTTCAAAAAGTACTTGTTGAAGAAGAACATTTTGAAGAAAAGTAAACGTATAACTGTATTTCTTTTTTCAAGTTTCTATTCAACTAGATAACTAAAATACCCTGAGAAGTATTATGAGTAATATAATTGTATGATGGATTTTTAGTACAAATAGTTTATTGTACTATTATTTTATTTAAATATTTCTATGAAGTATTTCTACCTTTGTATATGAAGTTAAAAAGAACTAGAGCCTAAAAATATTCTGCCTTCCTAGGTAAATCATATATTCTTTATATTTTGTAAAAACCCAACTTCAGTCCCCCCCATCCTGATTAAATTAGTGAAGAAGCTGAGACTCATGACACCATGATCCTCTCATTTTTTTCTGCAGCCTTTCTCTGTGTTTGCAGTGGATGTTCAATATTTATGCACTCAGAGTAACCGTGAGATTAAATTTATCCTAAATACACTATTTCTGTACTAAACCAGAAAACTTTACCTCCTAATTTCCTGTATGGCCATTTCAAAATGCTCTTTAGAGTCTACCTTGCTCTTGACCAGCTTTCCAGACCTGTCCCTTCTTTGAAAAGTCCCACAAGCTCTCCTCCTTCTTGCTCCTGCAAGAATGCTTTTTTAGGCTTAAAAAAGATACAAGGTTGCTTTGATGGGTTTGCCATTAATTAATTGATTCTGCAGGGTGTTACTAAAGCTCATTTTTTTGTGGCATTTGGAGCACAGCCACAGTCTTTACACAGCACAGCCGAAGATATTCGAATAACAGCTGCTATTAAAATGCTTTAGTTTTTTTATATGGTAGAATGTTAACCTTTTTTCAGGAAGAGGAATTAATAGAAATGGAGTAAGAATGCAATCTATCTATTTTTTGTCATGCAAACACAGAGTCAGGGCAGAAAATGCCTCACTAGGCAGTCCAGCACCAGTGTCCTGATTCACAGATTACACCAATCCACCCTTCCCACAGCTGGTAGCCTAGCCAGTGTTATGATTTCCATCCATTGACAACACTCTTTTAGTATCCAGATCCTTAGGCACTTATCTGGGCAATAAAAAGGAAAGCAGAGTTTAATTCCTCCTTTGTTTTTCGTTTTTCTCCTTCATCATCCCCCCTGTAATGGGAATGGGACAAGAAAAGTGCTACAACAAAAGACATTCCAGTTCTCAACTGGTTTGAAAACATTTTCCAACGCCAGAACATAAAATGGTCATTGTGTGCCACTGCAGTGCAAAAGAAACTCTCTAACAAAAAGAATTGTCAATAATCCAGAAGGTTAAAACCCTCATAGTTCGGGATTAATGATCAGTCTTCTGATTATGCTCAATTTTACCTTTTAGTGTCATTGAACTTGTGTTCACAGAGCCCTAAATCCCTTTGTCGATACTTTTGGCACCAGTGCTGTGTTATACATGTCAGGTACATGACAGATAAAATGGCTTTGAACTGAAATACTACTGGTAAATTCTGTATTATACACTCCTGTACATTGCAAATATTAACTTATTTAAGACACATCAAAAAACCCCCCACACCTCAGTCTTAGACTGCTTTTGATCACTTTGAGGGAACTTTTTCTGTGATTCAAATATAAGAATTTCCCATTGCTACGCAGTTTTCCAAATTAGTGAGCTATCCAGAACAACAACCCCCCCCCTTTTTTTTTTTTTTACTGATCCAGGCACTTCTAAGCACTGTTTTTTCATATCTCTATTTTCTCTAGAGAAAAAAAAGAAGGATATTTTCAAGAAATTTGGCAATTTGCTTTCCTAGTTACCCTTTCTACACCATGTTCTTGTGCTAAATATCTCTAACAAGCACTCAGGTATTACGGTGACCAATTATGAACAAAAACCTACTCATTTTTGTGGTTTTTTTTTTAATGAGGAAACACCCAGGGATGATTGTCCCCAAGTGATACAGCTGTCATACTGTATGATTTACCCTTCAACAGATTTTAAAATAAGTCTGACACTTTAGACAGCGATTTTTAGGCTGGATGAGAACATCTTAGAAATAAGACACTTAACAGACAAATTATCCTTTGTTCCCTGAAGCTGAAACTGCTGCTTATCAGACATGACAAGATGTGTAAGTGCTGCTCCCACTTTTATGCATGATAACATGTTTAACCACACACATTTATACCACCCCAAAAGTACTACCCTGCTATATATCAAAATATTTACTCAATCTAATAATAATTTAAAAAAGAGAGCTATACACCTGTAGTTAGAGTTAAATGGTTTGTCAAAGGAAGAAAAAGCCAAGGAGAAGATACATAATAAAAAAGATACATAATAAAAAAAAAAAAAACACCTTCTGTAGTACTGTTCAAGTACAGAGGGTTTAATTCTGGACTGACTACGATTCCTTCACATCTTGTTTCACAGCAGCAAATTTCAGTAGTTTCACAATCACAGATTTCTAATATTGAGGTGTCAACGTGTGGAAGCAGAGGATTACAGACCATCATTTCCTTAGCCATTTCCATGGCATATGCCAAGGGTAGAGAAATATGTGAGAAATGCCTACTGAAGAAGCAATATAACTTATTCAAGCACTTCTGGATACCAGAGGACTAAATGCTGCTTTCTTGAAAGGCCAGAAACACTGATACATTTGACCAGGTACAATAACCACAAAATCTATATAATCATCAAAAAAAGAAAAAAAAAAAAAAAGAAAAAGAAGGAAGACTACTCTGTATTTCAGGGAAATATCAAAAATTTAATTCTAATCTTGATGCTGTTTTCCCATGTCCTTCATTCAGTGACAGTGCTGCCTGTAAAGCCGAGGAGACCTCCAGTTCTCCAGAGGCTCTGACCACGAACTGATCCTAAACACAGACATAAGGGTTTGCTTATGTCTTGTGTCTTGCCCTCATTCTTCCGTACTTCTCTGCCCTCATGGCAGAGACACAGACACTTCCAACCTGAAGGAGAGGACAGTAAGAACAAGCTGAACAATTCCAGAGCCACATTAATGAGGAAAAATGCGGTTCTAGAGACCCCAGAGCTCTGCTCAGCCTGCCTGACCTACAAAAGAAGAGTCTACTCCCCTGTAGAACACACCCCCAGTGATCTTAATCTAAATGAACACCAACATTAATTAGTGCTGCTACTAATTAATACAGTGCTTTGTTTCCAGAGGTAATAATTTTTGGGAGCAAAGGTTTCTTCCTATAAAACAGTTATTGAGGAACCGACAGTTGTTATTGTAAGAGTAGCGAGGTGAGATCCAGTTTTAGAATTATATTCTGCTTTCTGAAGCTGTATTTCAATGTTCATTAGAAAGTTTATTAATTTTTGGCTTCTGGCTCTGCACTAACAGTGAATACCAACAGCTGACATATACAAATTACTAATTGGCTATGAGTTAGCAATTCCTATTTATATTTCATTTTTGGAATTTAAAGAGGACGTGGAAGTGTCCTTCAGTCATTCTTCTGTAAAACTTCCTTTTAATTGAACTCACAGATTTCTTGTTATATCTAGAATTCCTCTACTGAATCAGTTGAATACAGGAGATGAAATTATTAGGACTGTTGCTAATCACTGTAAATCTTAACTATTAAAAAGTTTGAATTTATTGAATCAAAACACTTTTCCCCCCTCTCATACTTTCTCCTAAACTGCCCTTCTCATCTTGGAATATCAGAATATTCCCTACACCCTATTAACAAGTTCATAGATCCCTTTTGGCAAATATGATTCGGTGTCCCAGGTTATTTTATACTTTTTATATCAAATTTTTCCACTAAGAAAAAGCACGATAAGCAAAAATCATCTTACTGTTTAGTGCTGTATTACCACAAACTCACTATCAGTGCCTGACAGGTAAATGATCCCATGAATTAGCATCCTCGCTTATTTTAAATGCAAATCCATCTTCCTTGCATATTTGCTGTGCAGACATGGCCCATTCACTGAATGACAGGAAGAACTTTGCTCCTCAGCAAAAAAAGTAGCTGCTTCGCAACTTTTAAAAACCCAGTTTGTTGACACCAGAGACAGGCTTAGAGTTATCCTCCAAATTCATCCTAATCTTTCAATTAACTTAAAATCCTCCTTAGTTCCAGTTTGATGCCCTTACAGGACAAACTTTAGAAAATGCTAAAAAAAAAACCACCCAAACCACACAGCTGAGAGAGAAACCATACCTTGGAGCTTGTCACTTGAAATGGGACTCGGGAGCCCTTCGTGACGGGGGGGTTCAGCTTCTCGGTTGGTTTTGAGGGGATGAGGTTTACAGGGGCGGGCTGATTGTGCAGAACGGAGGACAGGCAGAGCTGCACCGTGTCCTTCAGAGCTTTCAGCTGTGACTCCTGTGCAAAACAAGAAATCATCACTCCTCTGAAGATGTGTTGCGGGGAACAGAATTTCTTGCTTTCTCTCCCTGCATTAAACCAAATCCCAGTTAGGAGGGGCTGCTGCTTTTTTCTTACTAATGGGTGGAATTAAGGCTGTTTGGAGTGTTTTTTATATGATCAGGTTCCTGTGCATTACACACCAAACTGCCTAGAAAGTCACTGCACTCTCTTCCCTTTCCCCCATGTAGTTTTATCCACACTGATGATTGCAAATAATAATAATTATATCTAATTTTTTCTGAAAAGAAAAATCTATAAAATAGCATACATTGTCCAGCCTTTTACATAAAACAGCTACAGAGAAGTCACAAGTATTGCAAAGACACAGACTTTGGAGTTTTGTTTCCAGCCTTCCAAATGATTGTATTTCTCCACAGTTTATAAAGGTGAATTTTAATCCAACAAGGATGATTTTCAACAGAAATTACGTCCCTCATGAGCATATCATGCTTTTGTAGCATATAGTAACAAAACCACAGGTCTTTTGAACAGTTTAAATTATGTTTGTCCAAATCCACCACTGTCCATCAAGCCAAACTGAACAATCTAAGTGATGAAGCGCTGGCAACTCCTGTTAGAAACGCTGTTATTTTATTCACACCAAAACATTCACAGCTGATAAACACTCTAAAATTACATTACACTTCTTACTTTGTCAAGGGCTGCTTTCTCCAATACCTCTTTTGCAACTGCTAGTTTTTGCTCCAGATCTGTTAGCTGCTGTGCCTGTGGGAATAAAGAAAAGAAAGTTAAAAAAAAAAAGATGATGCAAACTTCAATGTGTTTTTGCCCCATAATTTTTCACATGAGAGAGGAAAGGATAAAAATTTTTCATGTAATATATATTAGTTGGGTCAGAATTCCTTGCAGAAGGACAAGGTCTTAAAGGGATGTTTTTATCCCTGAAAAAAGAAAAGTATGTGGGAACTGTGCTGAAATGTGAATGCAAGTCTATAATAATTTCAATGCCAATAGCAAAATGAATTCCATACTGTAAAAAAAAATATTATGCTATAATATCCTTTTGGAAAATTCGAGGTATTCAAGTAGTTTTTTATTTTTTTTTTAATTTATCTGACTTCTGAGTACAATTTGCAACACTATTTTGTGGTTTTAAGCATTGAGACACTAGCATTAAACTAACGTGGCGCAAAGAGAGAAATCAGAAAACACCCAAACAACTCATGCGTGTGTCCACCTTATGAAATGATATTATCTGCTGCTACACAAGCTGGTAACTCCCAATTTTTAATTTTCTCCATCTCCTTTCCTGGAGGTGTCAATGGAAAACTCACAAGAATAGTGGGAAAGCACTTTGGGAGACCTGCGTTTGAAGTCAGGCTCAGGCGAGCAGCTGGGACTGCTAGCTCTGTGTGATGTTTACACTCTGTGTGGAGTGCAGAGGTTCAGAAAGCGCTTCTAAATTCTCAGTATGTAAAGGCAATTATTTTCTCTCCCCTTCCCCTAAGAGGTACACAAACTCAGCCAGCTCGCTTGAGGGAAGTGTGTTCTCTGCAGGAACTTTCTGTTCCGGGGAAGCAGGAGCTCCCAGATTCCCGCAGTTCTCAGCCCTGTCATTAACAACATTACCATGCAACCAAAAGGAACAAGTTCTTTCACTGTAGTGTTTGCAAAATAACATTGATTTCCCTGTCTTAAAAAGGGAACCGTAGAGAATGACACCGGACTAACTGGTTACCTTTTTGTCTTAGAAATTCTAAGTAAATGAACATTCTGCACATGCAGAGTAACTGGATAAAGTTCTCATTTCTCAGTTTCTTACACCTGACATCAGCCACTATCACAACACACAGATCACTGTTTTGGTTCCTCAACCTGGCAACAGAGCATCCAGTACAGAAGGAATTCTTCCATTCCCTCAGTTTGCGAAATTTAAGTGGATTTATCACTGATTTACCAGAAAAAAATTACTAAGATATAAAAAAAAAAATTGTAAGAGTTCAGTAACATTTGCAGTTATTCCTAAATAGGGTACATATTATAACTCACAATAAACATAGCCATAGACAATGTTTGAAAGACTGAACCCAAGCTTGGGTCTGCTATGCAGACACTTCTCATTAGGTGCTAGAACTAGACCAAGCAATTTCTCACATCATTAACATTTTTATATCACTGCTTATTAAATTATTTTCCAGTACAGTTATACAAATTAATACAAATTCTCAACGAATTAGAATCAAGATTTGAAAAAAAAAACCACCCTGTACATATAATTGAATAATTTCAATTGCCATTAAAGCAGAGGAAAAGTACTAGTGAAGTCTTTCTGAATGCATCATTTATCAGGACTTATCCTTATTTTTCATAATCCTGTCATATTTTGAAGGAATAACATTTTCTGTTAACTTTCATGTATATTTATTTTATTTCACAGAATACTGAGCAAATAGGTCACTGACATCAATCTGACTGACATTAAGCGAGAATAAAATTCTGGCATCAAGAATGAATTTTGATAAACTCGAAAGCAGCAATACTTATTTACATCTTGGTTCCAAGACCGCAGAAAAATCAGATTTTTTTTTTCTGAAAACTTTTGAGTATCAAGCCTAAATTCATATTGCAGTAGTTTCACTGCTGCTGTAAGAAACTAGTTTTTTTAGGGAGCTAACATGGCTTGGATGCTGAGTAAAGACAAAATAGTACATCTCTTGTCATTCTAGAGGGAGCTGGACCAGGTCTGTAAGCTGATTGAACAAATTTTTAGATGGTATTTTTCAGTTCATTAAAAAAGTTACAATTTTTCAGTCCCAAAGCTGTGCTGTAAAAAAAAAAACAACCTGGCAATAAACTAATAGACCTGAATTACCAAGTACTGAAATAACATTCACATTTTACACGGATGTGATTTCCAGAACTGCAAGAAACCATCAAAAAAAATTAGACTTGTTTCAGTAAGGATACATTATCCAGTGTCCTTACTGAGAAATATATACAATAACAACCCTCCACCTTTTTGTATGTCGCTTATCTCTTTATATGAAAAAATTCCCACGTCTGCAAATAACCTACACGTATTTTTCAGCAGCAAGTTCTATTCAGATCTTCAGGCCCCTGCTGTGTTGCTGACATTAACACATTGCTAATAACGTGGTAATAACAATATACAAATGCTAAAATATGACCTCACCTGGCCAAATGGCTATTCCATAAAACATCCTGCCTGGTATATAAACTGGGGGAGTTACCTGGAAGCATCAGTGGGTGGTGTTGGGCATCACTTGATTTTTTCCTTGTTTGTTTTTTTTCCCCTTGTTTGTTTTTTTCCTTTTGTTACCATCATTATTATTTACTATTATTATTATTATTATTATTATTATTACTGTATTTTACTTTTGTTTTGTTTCTTGAACTGTTTTTATCTCAACATACAAGTGGGCAGCTGCATAGTGCTTAGTTGCAGTTGGGCTTAAACCACAACTTCCAGAGCAAAGCACACACAAACCAGACAAGACTTTCTACCTACATTTTTGTCAGGGTTGTGAAAATATACTATCCAATAAGCAGGGGGAAAAAAAATAATTGCCTACCACAAAAGAAATCAAATGAAGAAAATAAGCCTTGTGCTTCGTGAAAACAAGCAGTACTCACCACGCAGTGATAAAAGACCATGTAACAAGAGATCATGAAATGTTGGTTGTCTTAACTGTGTTGTCTCAAGATAGCTATCTTGAAAAGTAATCATGTCATCTCTTACCAATCAAACACCAACTACAGAAGTTTATGCAGCAGCCCTAATATATTTTATAAAAATCAACTAAGAAAATTTCAATTTCCTGTCTCACCCAGGGGCTTCATCTTCTACTGAGAAAAGCAATTCTATAATATCCTGTCTTACAGCATTTTTCTACATCCAATAAGCAGCCTGATCTAATCACAAATAACTGATAAACTGAAAACCAGAATCATACGTGCAGTGATAAAACTGCACAAACATTTTGACTTGATCAAGGAGAAAAAGTCCCAAAGCGAATAATCAGCCAAAGCATTATTTAATAAAAACCATCATAAGCCTTCTGACATGGAATGGAAAAAAAAAAAGTTGCAGTTTCTAAGACCAAACTACAACATTTAAGAAGAGCTCATTATACCAGAAAGTAGAAATATGTCAGCAAAGATCCAACAATCTCTATCCTTCGAGATAAAAATCAGGAAAAAAAAACAGTTCTCTCTCATGACACTTTAAGCTACAAAACTCTGTACACCCAAGGCCATGATCAGGCAAAAGACCCAATCTGGCCCAAAGTTCATATCCAATCCTGTTATTCTCAAGAGGCCACAACATGAATTCTGTAAAATTATTGCATTCTTAAAATTCACAAATAAATAGAATAACCTTCATAAAACAACCTCAAACATGAATAAAATCTACACTCTACTCCCGTTTCCTCAGCTGTCCATGTGTGGATGAACTGAACAGGGAGCTAAACATAATACTGATTAAATATTCTGGTGACATCAAACCAGAACTCTGTGTGTCATAGAAAATGGGGTTTATCTAAATTTACCCTGATAAACTGGGAAAAACAGGATGACATTCACTAAAAACAAGTGTAAGATGCTAAATAAAAACAGTAATGGTCAGTAAAACTAATACAGAATATGGAACAATAAGGATGAATGACCCAAGATGATATTACCACTGAATATGTCATATAAGAACTTTTGATCTCAGTAAATACAAAGTTACTTGTATTATTTATGTGCTTAAAAGGAAAATTCTGTTAAGAATATTTTGAGACTTCTCATTTCATCATCTGTCAGAGTCTCCTTTTATTGTGGGCACTTTTCATTTAATCTTCATCCTTTGAGGGGAAAAGAACAATCCAAAGAAAAACAACCTATTTTTGCTGATATAATCAACCAACAATATATAAGCCATGGGAGTCCAATTACATTTAATTTATCAGATAGAAAACATCATAAAACAAATAAAGATGTAGCTAAACAGAGGTTCAGCTTGCTGCTTCCTACTCAGCCATCATTTTTTCAGTTGTTATGCTGTGTGCTGAAGCCAGTCTGTAGCTTATAGAACTTGTTATCCCTAATGAAGTCACTGTTGTAAGATCTCTGGGGAAAAAAAACCACATTATCTCTAATATTTCTGCATTACATTTACTTGTATAACTGATATTTCTTAATAGTTTTTTATGGGTTTTATGGCCTTTCCCAAGTAGCTTCGGTGAATTTCCCAAGGGAGGTTGCAGAAGATCCAGATGCTGAGGAAATACATTGGATGAATAAACCCATCACAGGGTGAAGATCCTGCCTGAAAGGCAGAGGAATTGCATATTCTCTCAGGGAAGCTGATATGACAGGCCTGTAAGGAAACTGTCCTCAGTTTTCTGTTATCATCTCCCTTCAACATGGAGCTGCAGAAGTTTTATTTTTTTTACCCTTACAGGGCAGAGTAAAAGCAGCATGAAAGATAAGAGATTTCTTTTTGTGCTAAATAAATGAATGTATAAATAAAGCTTAAGTGAAACAATGTTGGGGGTTTTTTTTAAAAGCTTTCCTGTAATGAAAACAGGAGTTTTAGGGTACTTTGAACATAATGAAGAACAGTTTAAAATATTTAAAATGGACTAATCTTTCAAACATGCAAAGTCATCTGAATTCTGCTGTTGGTAATTTTAATACATACAGGTGCAAACCATGGCAGAAGTGGATGTACATGAGTGAAATGGGTGGATTTGGGTTGAGCCAAACCACCAGCAGTACAGAAAAAGAATTGTATTGGAAACCTTGAAACTTGCACCTTCACAGATGTGCAAGCACACAAAGTACTTCTGTTTAAGGTTATCACAAATTTTAAATATGCAATCGATTATTTCAAGCCCAGACAACAATTTTAATGTTTACACAAGTTCTCTGTCAAGTTAGGTCTTCAATGGTTTTCTCTGTGTGTGTTTTTTGTGTGTTTTTTTTTGTTTGTTTGTTTTTTTACCCTTAGTTTGTTTTTCTTTAATTATTTCCTCTCTTTCTCTGTATGGAATGCAGAATCTCACAGTCTTCATGACAGAAATAAATAAATACTCTAAAACTCTGGGAAATAGGTTTACTGTGGCATGTAATTAACTTCTGCTAACAGGGAGGAAAACACATATGGTGGCATCAGTTTAACTCTAGAGGGAAGAATGGCATAAAAATATTCCCCATTCAAGTCAGTATGATGCCAAATCATTTCACATAGTTTTGTTTATCTTTGACTCTATTTATCACAGCAAATGATTAACATTATGAAATATTAATATTAAAATTTAATATAATATTAAAATTATGTTCACATATCCAACTAACGAAGTAATTTGTGTAGAACTATGTTTGTCAAAGAATTTGGAAAGTGGTTTTTACTATAAATTTATTCCTTTATATTACTATAAAGGTAATAAGGATTGCTTATTCAAAGTTAAATTCTGCCATGGAACAAAGATAAAGTACATTAATAAGCCAGGTGAAGCTAGTTGTTGCTCACAATTGAACCTTTTATTGTTTGGTTAGGGTGTTTTTAGGATTATCAATATATTTCATCTTAGAATTTAAATAACAAAAGGGAAAAGAGATGAAGCATTAGGTGGAATGTCTGAAACTCAAGCACAATCTGTAGAAAATAGCAAAAAGATGTACTTAAGCCATAGCACTGAACCATTGTCCCCTTGTACATTTACAAGAGCAATTTCAGTAATAAAAGATATTGTATAAACTGGCAGTGAAAGTTATTGCTAGATTTTTCTTCATCTCTTGCTACCATCAGATATCCATATTTGCATTTTATGAATTAAAAACCAAACTATCTTTAATTATTTTCTAATTTAGTAAAGCTTGTGACTTCTTCTAGGATAATTTAGCCAAATGATTGGGGAGAGAGTCAACGAAGGAGTTATTTAAATAAGAAGTGGTCATTAATGCCTGAAATGAATGTAGACCTTGATCTAGCAGCACTTAAATTTAGGAGTACTTCACTGAGTCAGGGGTTTAAGACCATAATTAAATTATTGCAACTAAGGGTGTCCTCATTCAGAACTAGCAAGTACCTAATTATAAAGGAAACGATAAAATTAGGAAGACTGAGTGGCAATTTTTATTAATAGTTTCTTATTTTTCCCATAATAACACGAAGCAAATTTACACTTGGTTCAGCTCTTTAAGGACACTGTGCTGCACAGAGACAGTAGCTCAGATTCTAATCTCAGCAGAGACACCCACAACCCCTACAGCCTGGAGCACATCACTTAATTTTTGTGATGCTCACTGCTCATCTGCCACCTGGCTTTATATCCCATAGGGAGAGTTCAAAAAATATAAACTGATGTAGAGATATGCTCCATAATTAATCAGATGGATTACAGAACACTTTGAAAACGTAAGAAGAGTAAACACACGCCTGAAGTGGTGAACTTGTATTTACTACCACTTGTTAGCTTACTGACACACAACGTTAAAAGTGGATATGACTGGAATATTAAAGGAGAAAGCTGCCCTTTCCTCCCCTTTCCTCTTCCTCTCCCACTTAATTCCCAGAGGTCTAGTTGAGTACAGAGCTGTTGATGATAATAGTTACCAGAATTTAATAATAGTCTCTTGATGTTGATTATGCAAAACAAAAACCAAACAACCTTCCCATATCACGTATATCTGCACAATTAATTCCTTCACAGAAAGCATTAGTTTAATGGGCATGGGCTGCAGCATTCTCTCATGCCCTTCAGAAATCCAATAGCCTGCAGCTCACATCCCTCTGGTGAGCTGCTCCAAGAAGCTTGCAATGTTCAGAGCTATGTGGAGAGCAGAATTCCCTGAATTCCTCAGTAAGGCAAAGAGAATCCAGAGTTTAATGTGCTGGGAAGGCAGTGGGAGGAATGTAGAAGTCCAGTAAGAAGATAGTAGCTAGCAGCCAGGATTTTATCCCAAACACTCTTGCTCTGTTCTGGCAGAAGACTGTCCATCTGTTTCATTTATCAGAGTTCAGAATAAGAGCTTCACAAAACAGACTCAACAGCAACGATAACATTAAATCTGTTACATTTCCAGCATCAAAGCAACTAGAAATGAAATACCACCTGTTCTTGCCCAAACCCAGCAGCCTCTCTCTGATCAGGCAGATACTTGAAAAGCTTTCCAGCCTATACCAAATGGCTTCTACTCTGCTCAGCAAACCTGAAACGCACACAAACCAGCACACGGAACCTCCCCTCTCTCACATCTCACACGATTATTTGGGAGGGCAGCATAAGGTTTCTGCTCCCTTTGCTTCACAAGTCAAGTTTCCTCAGTCAGGAAAAAGACTGAGGAGTAAACCTGCACAAATATTTCTGGCTACACATAAAGGAGTTGGCAAAGCAGGCATTCAGCCTTGAACAGAACTGCGCATGGTCAAGAGATGTTTCAAGTGTTTGCATATCCAGTTTTCAGAGGAGAACCCACACCATCTAACTTGGGACCTACACCCAAACTATGCCTATTCAATACAGGTCAAGGACTTAAAGGCCTGATTCATGTGGTCATATGTAGTCTTTAGGACGAGATAACTCTCCAGGGATTTGGAGTGGAGACTTTGGTGCAGACATCCATATCCAGTCAGAGAAGACCCACATCTATTTCCTTTCACACTAGACACACTTCTTCTATTAATATGTAACTCTGTCCCTCCCTTCCACCCCAAACCCCTTAACCAGCACATTGTAATAGTTCACTGAACTAGGACCAAGAGAGGGTGGATTTCATTGTCCATGTGCTGGTGACTTGCCAGACAACCTTTCCCATGTGTTCAGATCAGGTTTTCGGATCACTGTGTATTACCATCACGAAAACAGCAAGGAAATAGTAGCGCTGAATAATCCTACTGCTTCAGCCAAAGAAAATAAGCTTTCACAGCAAGGCAAGATTAGAACTCATAATCTTTTCCTGTGCCCAAGCTCTCAGTTATCCTTAATTTGAAGAAAGATGTGCTGTTTTTGTTAACATAAACTGGCATTAAAATTTAAGTGCCTAGAAGTATAATATGCCTATTTTTTGTCTCTAAACCTATTTCCCTGGTTTTGGTCTTATGAGGACCAGAAATAAAAGCTCCTGAAAAAACTTTGAATCAATCTGTGCATTAAAAAAAATATAAATAAATCACAGAAATCACACTGTATATTATAAATGGCCTACATTATTCCGTCTTTACAGTACTGTATATACAACAGAGAGAGTTAAATAGTTCCTGAAGGCAATTCGGACCTCATATTGACATGAATGACTTTCTAGGCAATTCTAGGTATAGTCACTCTGAAGATGGTTACTTAATCTTCATTTTTTATGCTGGGAATAAAAGGACTAATCAATTAGCAGCCTCCAGTCTGGTGACTTGCATCTCTTCCCTCCTCCTTTAACAGGGATTAATTTCTCCCTGTGTTAACAAGGACTTGATGCCCTTCAGCAACATTTTTATTTTTTGTCCAACCCCCTCCTTCTTCTTTTATTTTTTTAAAAAAATATGCTATCTAGACAGACAATTCATTTGGAATGTTTAAGACACAGACGTTTCTTTTTCTAGAAGCTTCACATCCAAGGAATATTACATCGCTCCAGCTCATCACAAACATCAAGATTTACTCTCAGTGTTAACAATAATTGACTTTGCCGTGGAGGGATTGCTAATTAAAGGAAAAACAAGAACCATCTGCTTCTATCAGTCAGTTAGAAAGATGGAAAACACGTTACAGAATGCATGGAATAGGGCAACAGGTTTTGTTCATCAGCAGTAAACTAGAATGTGAGCACCTAAACACAGGTGCTCATAAACCAGGTACTTGCCACTGCTTTTGTCTATTTGAAAGCAAAGGCACCAGAAAACTTTTTAGGGTCAGAATCTCTTCTTCCTTGGCCCTGCAACCAATTTAATAAAAAGCACCATCCCTGTTACAGTGTTCTGCATGGAAAAAAGGAAAAAATAGACAATATCTGAAAATGCATTATGGTATTAAGTCCGTCTTGGTGGTTTAAGCTCTTTTCGGACTTAAATTATTCCTTAGAACTGCAGTAATAAAGGCAGTTTTCATATTCCTAGATTACTTCAATACTATATTAACTCCAATATTTTAGCTAACCATACTGTAATAAGACTTACCTTAAAAATCAGGTCCTTTTTCCCATAACGAAGCTCTTTCAGCTGGGCTTGGATCTTTTTTGACTGAAAGTGAGGATAATAAAATCAAGTTTGAAAGTAGGTTTATTTTAAATATTTCCTTTCAAGATCAGAAAAAAAAAAAAGGGTAGTGAGTTCTGACAACAGTAGAATCCAGATAGCTTTAAAATGCAGAAACCCTCCACCCCCAAAATCACTGACAATTGCTTTTCCTGGTTGACATGTCAAAAGTATCAAGGAAAATATAAACTGGCCCTTACATAAAGCACATAAGTGAGTGATATGAATAGCTTTTGGGCTGACACAACTGAAGTGATAATTATGGAAATTTCAGTAAAGATGTTATGCCTCTGTCTTGTTCAGGCAAGGTGCAATGACTTTTATAGAAATTATACATGCAAAAAAACTCAGACTAAAGTAATTTAAGTGACTAAATCAGATTCATTCACATGTTGTAATATGTTTCTTTCATAAAAAGTTAAATGGTTAAAGGAACTGCTCAAATGAATGCAGGTGCTTCTACACTGATCTATTTGCCAGCAAATAGGGCTTTTGTATCACTGACTATCTTTTCCATCTCACTCTTCAGCAGAGGGGAGATTCTGCTCCCACAGTTCCATAAAGTGACCCTTTTATCCCTGAAGTAATGAAACATTCTAGGATTCAATAACAATAAATTTTTCCTGTCTCTGAGTTAATTTCAAAACAGGCATTTGGCAATTCCTATTTTAGTCTAGACATGGAGATCAAGGAAAGTAAATCAGTTTTATACACGTTATAGAGGCATAATAAATTTGCAGAGCTATATCATAAGCGAGCCCAAATGATTTTACTTGTCTAAGACTTGAGTTTGCAGCTCACTTTCTAACACATTTGAGCTGCTTCTGGTGAAGTCACAGAAATGAGCTGGAATGAGAGCACTTTGGGAACTCCCACATGTAAGCATAATACATATTCTATATTCTGGTACGTATAGATATATATATATATATATAATATACCTGAACCTCAGTAAAAAAGACTTTGATGCAAACTTCTTATTCAGAATACAGAGGAACCTTGCTTACCTCCTCAGCATGAATGCCACAAAGCTTGTTTCCTGACAAGAGCTTGTTTTTGAGGCTTTTGTTCTGAGGGGGAGACAAGAAAAAACCAGAGTGTTTATTAGTGAGGGTTACTGAAATATTATACCCTCAAGTCACCAACAAAAACACAGGTAAGACAAGAGAGATTCATCAAGGCACGATACCCTCTCACAGAATTCTGAAAGGCTATAAAATTTTCTTTAAGAGGAAGAGGACTGCTTACAGAAACCTTCCAAAACACTCTGGGAACTGAAAGCAATTTAGATTTAATACGCTGAGGTACAAAAGGGCAGAAAAAAATTTCATCTGATCCTTACCTGATGTCAACTGCATGGCTCAGTATCATTTTCAGTAAATCATCATAAAAGCTGAGTAACAGGGCCAAGATCTCATCACTTGACATTGATGATCCAATTCATGGGGTCTTTTTGCTAGATTTCATAATTTAAAAATGCAAGTAATCCAAATCTGTAGAAGGTTAGCTACCTGATAAAACCTTTCACCAACTCAATGTGCTTTTTCATGTAGGAGTTTTAAATGTATTTCTTCTCATTTTCAGGGAAAATAATAAGCCTTGATAAAATGCATTTTCAATAGTAATTCTTTCTGTACTCCTCATTCATGTTACACCATAACTGACAGTCAAGAGTGAAGATTTCTCAGGAACAAGCTGTCATTAGAACCAAAACTGTAATTCCATCCAGTTTAAATTTAGGCCCACATCCCACTGAAACACTGGAAGCCTTTAATTCCAGCATTATAAGCTTTGAGTTTTTCTTGAAAAAAACTTCCTTGTTGAAGCAAACGCAAAGAAACTAAAATTCCATGTGAAACCTCATTTGCCCAGTTCCAAAATAAGGAGGAGATGTGACAATTTCACGTTTCGTTGTCCTACTACTGTAAACACTGCTGCAGAAACAACAAACCTTTCCCAGATGTTTGAAATTTCATAGTTCTGTGGTGCAACAGAAAGGAATCAGGATGTTGCTTTGAATGAGACAGCCCAACAACCCCGATTCTGCCTCACAAAACATGATTTTTCAAAGGACTGAGTGTTGCTCTGGTAAGTTCCTTTTTGTTTGAAAATTAAGCTGTAGCTCATCAAAGAGCAATGCCTTAAATGTACTAACCAGGGCAGCAACACAGAACAAGACAACTCGCTCTGAATAAAAGGAACTGGGTAGCAGATAAAAGATGAAGAGAGGTAAATGAAATAGCAATCAGAGACAAAGTACACCCGACTCATCTATTATTCACCACGAGCACATCTGAAGAGCTACACTGTGCTGTGGGCACACAGTGGATGTGACTGCCTTCACACAACAATCAGCATCACCTTTTGGGGTGATAGCCAAACAGATGTGCCAAAGGCACTGCTTCGTTAGGGACCTGTACTTAATTAACCCAGGATATCACGTCATCCCTTTGATTTCACTTACTCATTCCCCCCCAGTTCCCCCCACAGATTGGTTCAGTAACAGACTCTGTATTTCAGAACCAAAGTAAGAATGAGTTGTAACCCTTATATTTTTACTCATTTATCTTCCTTTCACCCAGTATATACATATATATATACACACACACATTTATATATGTATATATATATTTATATATATGTATATATATACTATAAGAAATAACTGCTATTAATACATTGATATTTCATAAGTAACTTCTACACATGCTATTTTGAGAAGATTCTGCAGTAACCCAGGACATGTGTCAGCAGGACACACGATGTGTTAGATGGTTGTCGCAATTTCCGTCTCGGGCCAAAAAGGCCTGGCAAAAGAATGTAGTTAAAAGAACTTTTCCCACGCCAAAACCTGATGAAAATATTTAAAGTTAGGAGATGAGATCCGTTTTGGAGGTTTAGCTAAGTTTAACATGATTTACCAATCCTGTCTCATTATCCAGTCTATCACCAACAAACCCAGCAGGGTTATCAGAATGCAGGAAAAATAGTTGCGATTTAATCTGAACTTAATAACACTTTTAGAAGTGAGAGTAAGCATTAAAGGTTACTATTATCGACAGCATAATAAGTAGGACCTTGACAGAGGTAGGTGGCAACTTCTTGCATACAGTTTGATTGATTTTGTGTTATTTACAGTGACAAATCACGTCATTTTATGTTACTTACAGTGACAAATCATGTCACTGTCAAAAATAGCTTTTCATCCTGATTAATAGTGTTAATTTCTATAGCAGAATGTGAAGTTTACCAGTTAAAACACGTGAAGTATAACAGAACCTGGTGTTGTTTGGATACTGAATTAAATGTAGCAAAATGAGAAGTCTGATCAGGTACATATCCTAGAAGAATACGCCCCCTTTGCTAGAAAGGGGCTATTCAGAATCAGATTAATCAATCAATGAAATTTTAAGTTTAAAAATGCCTATGGATTCAGCATAGAAGTTCTGACATCCAAGACTTATAAGGATTCAAGATTATGCGTTTTTTCCTATTGAGCATCCTTCAAAGAGCAACAACAAATAAGTTAAACAAGAATTTTAACCAGTTTTAATTTCAAGTACTCTATTTGTTACCAAGTGCTTAAATGGAGAAGGTCTTGAACATTTCAGGCTTAAAAATAAGAAATGAAGTATCTGTAAAAGCACATTTTTAAACGAGTGGCAATTCCTACCACGCCAGACTGGTACTTGAGACTGAACTTGAGAGTTCAATAGAAGCACTTTCACAGTTTTAGCTTTAGTTACTTCCTTTTCTGCAAATTCATTTCTGTAAAAATAATTAATTATATAGCTGCACATTGCATTTTTTTCTTTTATAATTTCTCCATCTGATTGAGCATATACAGTAAACATCTCATAAAGCAAGAGTCACAGTTTACAGGCATTGTCAGCTGTGACAAACTACCGGTGGACAAATTTAAAGGGGGTTTATTATCATCATAAATCTGAAGTTAGGGGGATTAACGTTTAACTGATGAATCATATATTCTACTAACAGCAGGCTAAACTTACACCAACAGTGTCAAAGCCACAAATTTTCAGATGTCATTTTTTTGGAAGTTATTTTATCTTGACCCCTGATCACACCAGGAGTGCTTTAATACTCTTGTGTTTATGTGTCATAACTTGAAACACCAGTATTATCTACTCGAATCAGCATCAGGATCTGAACCCAGAATGAACAAATACATAACCTAGACATCATCATCAGTACAAAGCAATTTAGTTTGTCTGCTGGCCTTTGAAAGCAGAGGATACAAAGTATGTTCAGGGAAAGAAAATCACTTTCAGAAAATTGTATTCTCAGCAATCAACTGCAATTCAGACATTTTATCTCAGCTCTGACGTGCTTTTTTTTGGTTGTTGTATAGAAGATAAATTTGGCTCCGCTTCCCCTTGATGAATAGTGCAAATAAAACCATGCTGAGCCCCTGCTCATCACTGGAACATTTCCCTCTAATGGGTATAGCATTTGGGAAAACAACCAAACCCAAGAACAACAAAAAGAAACCCCGGACTCTGCTCAGCCAGAGTGTCAGGGACAACTGTCACGATGAACTGTCTTCCACCTCCCGTGAAAGCAAAGTGCTTCACTGTGCCCTTAGGAGAGAAATCAGGAAGCAGCAACAGACCAAAAATCAAACATCTGGATTTATCTGCTACCACGATGCACTGGTATCCAGTTTGCTTTGGATATTAGCTTTGTGTTTCACGATGATGAAAAATGGATTCTATCGCATGAAACGGGGTGAGTGCTTTAATCCCAGCAGGGCTGGCTCAGCCCTTCATCTTTCTGAGACAGATAAACTGAGCTTCCTACACTCTGTGTAGGAAAATAATGAAGGTCTTTCAAATAAGACCTTAAGAAGTGCATTCCTACCCGTCCTCATGGCCAGTGAAGACACTGTGACTTTTTGGCCTTGATATCCTTGAGTATGTCTGAGACTCTTTTCCCTACAGTTTTTCAGAGCCCAAGAGTGCCAAAGAGCTGAAGGACACTGCCCCTTCAGTGTGATGATGCATATACAGGCTCCACACTTTTCAGACCTGTCTGGATCCAAACTGTCCTTGTAGCTCTGAATTCCTGGGAAAAGCTGACTTCCACTGTGGTCAGGCTTCAGCCTCTCAGTGCTCTGACACTTCTGCCTGTGCTGTTATTTAGGAGGCACATGCAACACCTGGAGGCTGACAGCCAAGCTGGGTAACCCCTGCAAACATGGCACATTGCCACTGTTGTAAGCTCAGACATGTCTGGGCTGTTTTGCTCCTTTTGAACTCTTTTCTGTAACCTGTCCCCCCGCCTTACACTCATGTTACAGATAAAGGCACTTAAGGACAAGCTTTCCCAAGCAAACAGTACACATTTCTTTCCTGCTGCCTATCTGTCTCTGCTAATACTTCTGTTATATTTCTCCCTGAATTTCGTGTAGCCCAGCTGAGCTGAACAAGCTGATAAGCGACGTGCAAAAATCTTCCATTTGAGCTTTCAGCAGGAGCTTTGTGTTGATTGTGTTTGCCTTGGTGTTCCAGTCATTTCAGCAGGACTTTGCTCTGCAAAAGCAAATGCCATTTCTAATTCTTTCCATGTCAGATGTTCTAATTAAAAGCAGCAGCATATTAAATGCAGAACCCCGTTGCACAGAATTTATATCTGAAATGAAGGGTAATTGCCTATGCCATGCAGGGTTATTTAGAGGGGGAAAAAATGGCAATTCTTTGATCTTTCCCTTTGGGGGCAGTGGCTGAATGCTCTGGGGATGGTTTGCAGGATCAACAAAGCAGAACACCTAGTTAAGTAGATGTTAGCCTGAAGGTGCTGCTTTTCACTTGACGTTTGTGAACAGAATGACAAAGAGAGCTTGGTGCTGCTGCAAGCTGAAGGCTGGGCTTAAAAATAATAAAAAAAAAAGGCATAGTGAAAGCTCTCATTAAAGCAAGGTGACAGGAATTAATAGAGGGTGCTGTGACCAAACATGTAAATAAAAATAATCTTGAAATAAACCCCATTTCTGACCTTGAAAAAAAAAATGAGCTCCTCTATCACTAGAGGAGTGAAGGGTCAGACTCTT